TCGATGGAAGGTGGTCCCCTTTCACCGATAGTTATCGTGGAAGGCGATCGAAGGGGGTGGCCACCCCGTCCCAGGAGCCGGCCCGCAGCCCAGCCAGCCTGGCCAGTAGCCCAGCCAGCCCGCCCAGCCCGCTCAGTAGCCCAGCCAGCCCGCTCAGCAGCCCAGCCAGCCCGCTCAGCAGCCCAGCCAGCCCGGCCCAGCAGCCCGGCCAGCCCGCTCATGATCAGCAGCCCGGCCAGCTCGGCCCGCAGCCAAGCCAGCCCGCTCAGCCAGCCCGGCCCAGCAGCCCAGCCAGCCCGGCCCAGCAGCCCAGCCAGCCCGGCTAGCAGCCCAGCCAGCCCGGCCAGTAGCCCAGCCATCCCTGTCCAGCAGTCACCCACGCCCACCCACCACATCCTCGCCTAAGCGGAAGGGATTCCGAATTTTGACTTGTCCCTTTCCTCGGACGAGGTGTGGATGAGCAGGTGGGTGCCGGCGACCAAGTATGTTGCTAGGCGGTTGACGGTGTCAGGATCTGACAGCTCACCGTCTCCCCCATCCAAAAGGCGGCACCTGGCTGGCAGTCAGGATGAGTAAGTTCGAATTCGTTGTTCCGGTACATGTACTTTTAGAAGTAAAACAAATGTTTAGTAGTACATTATTACATATTCTCAAATAAATGTGTGTTTGTGAAATACTAGTAATCATCTTTTCCCTGAAGTGTGCCCTGTCTTCGTTTACTGATACGTAGGTGATGCGTAGATTGAAGAGCAATTTTTATGTTTCCATTTTCTTCTACAGGACGATGATGTGGGACTCTTGCTCCCAGCCAGTCAGTAGCTCCCAGCCAGTCAGCCCACCCTAGAAGCCAGCTAGTAGCTCCAAGCCATGCTCCAAGGGACCGGAAAGGAAAAGAAAGAAGACAACGGAGAAGAATACAAGAAAGACGACGAGATTAGGGCGTATAGTGAGGCCAAAAAAAGGTTTACGCCCTCAGTTGTGTACTCTGACTCTAAGTAGAGTAGTAAACGTTAGTGTACAGGGGATTCCACTAATTTGTATTTCTCGTAATTGTAGTATTTCGGGTAATTGTATAGATATCTAAAACACCAAACCATTTACCATTCACACCATTGTAAAAACATTGTGTAGTCATTGTGTAGTTTACCTGAAATAAGAATGAGCTTCACTTTATATTTTATTGCCCTTTTTACGACAATCTTCGCTAAACACTATTTGAGAAAATGTAACAATGGAAAGAGATGAAACAAAACTTAACTGATTATTTAAGGAGTGTGTTTTTGAAATTCCAATATATATTCATCAAGCTTGGAAAAAACGTAATTATCTATTCATAAATTTCTCCTTTGGCACAAATTGATCTTTATAATGTAGATGAAAAATTCACCTCAAGCGAGCGGGAACATTTTTCTTAATATTCTTCTGAACTGTCGTAAAAAAAAGACCTCGCAAGAGTGCAGCTGCATACAAATGTTAAACCAAGCTCGTCATACAGCTGACTGCCTAGTAGAAGCAGACCCACTAGATAAACTAATAACAAATCTGTTTTAAAGCTTAAGTGATTATTTAGACGCAATGAAACCCAAACAGCAAGCAAGTAACTCCAGGTCCTCAAGTAGTCAACATACAGGAGATAGTGAGTCAATATACTATAAAATGTATTTCCAGACCAAGGCTAGAGCTTAAGTTAATGGACTGTTGAAGTTGGGCTCAGTGGGTGGTCTCCTGGATGTTAGTGTGGCAGAAGTTCAAAATGCATAGGAAGATTAAGATGAGATGAAATTTCATGTATGACGAGGAACCTAGCAGCAAAGGGTAAATTTGAACTTTTGAAACCATTAATTTACTCGATGTTTAATAGATCATGGTGGTCTTTCGGTGGTCCACTTTTGATTTGTTTATTTACAGTGTTTCATTTGATGTATTACACTGGATTTTACGTGTTATGACAATGTTGAGGACAACAAGGATAAAGTAAGGACACAGAGGCAAGGTTTCCTGTGCACTGTACATGTAATCACCAATCATCAAAGCACAACAAACAAGAAAAATAACATGATTGTGTACATCACACACTTTATAATAAAGAAAGGGTCATGATGCCCAAGGTAATTGTACATTATATTGAATGCAGAATAAACATACAATACTGGTACTACAATTTTTGCTTCTTTTTTTTTGTCTAAAATGCATTACCAAAGCTATATGCTAGACGTTTATTATATTGCAGTCAACATGAACTGCAAATCGTCTTTTGATTATGTTGACTTGAAATGTTGTAACTTGTAAGTACACTAAAGAGCTGTCTGAAAGTAACGTTGTGTATAATTTTGGTGAAAAAAAAAACAACAAAGAAATGAAAACATGCTCATACCAAAAAATGACGATATGTTTCATATATTTACTTGATATATTTACATCATTTCACATTTGAAACACATGGACCGGTACCCACCCTATGTATGATGAACATTCATATACATACATACACATTATTAGATACATTAAGTGGGTAAGCAGGAATAGGTCGCTATGATGACCTCAAGTAACCTGACCTAGAAACACCACTATAACACCACCAGATTCCCACCAGGCAGCATTGAGGCATCCTTTGGGCAATAATTGGTGGTCATCAAATATGGTCACCTGACCTCATGGTGGTGTTTCGGTGGTCCGCTATTTCCCAACCCAAAGCTGACTGTATGACGCCCCAAGCCTGACTCATTTCTGCCTGCCCGCGCACTGTGTCTAGTGTTTCCCATTTTAGGAACAATGGAAATTATGTGTCAAATAGTAAGTCTAAAGCCAACTTGAATCCCGAAGCTTCGGGAGAAGCTGAAGTCGTATTTAAAAGGACTGTATACGAAGAAGAGAGAAGCGGCTAGCCATCTGCTCAATACATCTTCATGATCAGCGACGAGCAGCGAAACATGAAGCCCTATGCGGTCCCAGTGCGTGTTCTCCCAGCAGAGTCGTCAAGGCTGAAGAAATGAGGCGGCTCAAGGATGAGTTGAAGAGGGCAATGGAGGCCATGGTTTTTGTCGGTTAGTTTTATTTCTTTCGATTCTCTGCTTTCCTATTTTGATGCAGACATAAATTATTGGCATTTACATTTCGACATTGGCTAATAGTGGATGTCATATGCAAATAAACCTTTAGGATGAATGATTTGATTTTTAAATGTGTGTGCGACATGTATCGAAAATGTTTTGCCATTACCATGGCATCCGATTCTGACATTGTTTTTCCAGTCAGGGTTTGTCACTGATGGAGAATGGAATTCCCTGAGAACAATGGGAGGAGACAGACCAGTCTCCATCATACAACTAATGATGGAGGCTAAGGCACAAGCAAGGACCATGACGGCTGGAACCATTAGGAGGTACCTCACACTTAGGTAAAGAGCTTTTTGAATTTTTTGTTGTTGTTGACTGCTCAATCATTTTAAGAAATGTGCATGTATTTCCTGTCTTTCATTCTGCACTGTTCATCATACATTTTTATGGACCTATGTACTTTTCATCCTGTTTGAGTGTTTGATTACTATTTATTTGAATAATTGTTCTTTTTTTGTTATCTGTACAAGGTAGAACAGCAATTTTGAGCACTGTGACTGTTGACTTTTTTCACACACAAATCCCATTTATGTAAAATTGTTTGAAACGTGTCTATTGTGTCCAATTTCTGTCAAAGTCCTTTTCACCCAGCAATAATAGTACAATGTGTACCCCAGGATGATGCTGACAACCCGCTTCCAGTAGAAGGGTATGAGACTGTTCAACACCAGGATGTGATATGGTTGGCTGATTTCATCAGAGAGAACAACACAACATTCGAGGCAGCCATTCATATTCTACGGAGAACACACTACCCTTTTATGTATGATCCGCATCCGTGGACTTCAGGTTAGTCACGCTATACATGTAAAGACACTTCTGTTGACAAGACTGGAAGGAAAGGTTAGTGATGCAAGGCGAGGTCCTCTCCTGTCCCACTGACATACCCCGGGCAACAAGCTGTACAACACAACCAACTCGGATGCTCTCCTGCATGCCTGATGGGTGTGTGGACAGCAGGTAAATAATGTGTCTTTAAAATTCATGCTACTAAAGTGTGTTCTTACCAATGTTGTGAATCGTGAGGTTCAACGGGAATAGAAGAAAACACGGGGACAGTTCATTTACTTTTTTGACAGAATGCAAAACTGAAGGCCAAGGCAGATGATGTGCAGAGGAAATGGGCCCGGAAGGCCATCGCCTCTAATGCAAGAGACCGGGTCAGCTAAGCAGTTGAAAAAGAAGGATGCCATGTCGATGAGAGTCAGCACGCCTTTTTGCAGTCTATCCTAAGTCAGCAAATCAATACATGCAGTTTCAAGACAACACAGCACATCACCATCAGCATACCAGCAACAAGTTAAACAATACAAACATCATAATTATATAACGCAAGGACAACGAGGTGTCATTCGTTGATGATTAAGTTATGTTCAGCAATTTTCTACACTTCCAACGCAACGAGTGAGTGAGTGAGTGATTACAAACCAATATCATGGCTCCTATATCATAGCATATCATGGCAATGCTTGACGTACGATGTAAATATGCATATATATGTTAGACGTAGTTGCTGTTTAGGGTTGGAGCACTATTTGGAATTTTGAGCTATTCCAGAACCATTTCATATAAATCATTTATGTACATCTAGTATGATTGACCTGAATTGTTATTTGGTGTCAATAAAAGTGCTTAAGTTAACATGACACCCGATTTCCTTGCATCAAAAGACCGAACATTTTCAAATAAAGTTTTAATCCTAGCCAGAGTGCATGTAACATTGTGTCCACCTCTCTGTGAGTAAGAGGTAAACTTTAGACAGCACAGCCGTGCTTAACGTAGGTTAAGGGATATATGCAACACCCATCCCTAGGCAAAATGGTTCTCAGAGCTCTCGGTCCTATGGAAGACGAAGAGGTGGCTAAAAATTGCTGTTGCTAGTCATGTCAATCCTTCACCACACCTCATCCCGCCTGTGGGCGCGTTTTCACCTCCCATTCAACGGGGTGCACAAAAAGGAGGGATCTCCGTAGCTTGCAACGAGCTTCTTTCTTAACCCTACCTAGACCGGGGGGGGGGGCTAAAAGTGCCCGCGGCAACTTTGATGTCACCTAGCGTCTGAACGGCTAGCCGTAGAACGACCAAACTTGGTGACTTTTCCTAAAATATTGTTGGCAACAATTCTCTATCATTGGAATAAGATAATAATTTTTTGTGTTGCCATGGCAACGGGTTTCTGACAGGCATTTTTTGCTAAATTTAGTACTTTTTGTTTCAACAATAGAATTTTATGGGTTTTATGTCAAGTTACTCATGGTTTCTAATATTAATAACATCCCATATAATTTT